TTTGCATAAATTTCAAACTGCACATGTCTGGGGAGATTTGCCATCAGTTTTTGATAAATTTCCAAGGCAGCGACTATTAGGTATTCTTCACTGTATGGGTGGTTAATTTAACGGACTACATGTTCTACATCTTCCTTATCACACTATCCCAATGGAGTAAACATCAGTATTCTGAGTGATCCAGTCTATATTTCAAACTCTGATTTCTCGCAACTCTGGACGCATGAAAGAAGTTTTTCTGCTGGGAGAGAACTAAGTCTTCCCTGAAATTTTGTCATGAAGTTGGTACATCAGAGTTGTTCATTTGTAAATGTTCATGCCTCAAAACGCGCCTTTAACGACTGTTTATCTGTATATCTGACAAAATTGCATATGTTTAAGTGAGATGACCTTGTTTTCTTATTATTGTAGTCTTTTTTCAAACTGAATACAATAATAACAAGCTTTAGTATCAATAGTTATAATTTTTTTATTAATTTTGCTTCCAGAAACAAGATGCTCCAAATAATCACAAATGCGGTAAAACTTTTTCTAGAAACAAAAGTGACGATTCTTTTCAAAAGTATGCAACATCTGTATTTAGAAATTCATCAGTGACAGGAATACCACAGATTGCTGGCAGCAAAAGTTGGAAAAGTAGAATTCGTAAAATATTAATATTTTTGTTTTGTGTGTTTGGATTTTTATACCAAACAGGAAGTTTCTTAGAGTACTTTTGGACCTACCCCACAGTTACTAACATTAAAGAGAGCACTCCTTCCGAAATAATACTGCCAGCTGTGACTTTCTGCAATAATAATGAGTAAGTGGCTTACAACATTTTCTAAAAATTAAAACGAATATTAACTTTTAATCATTTAAAGAAATTAATTAATTTTTATACTTCCTCCTTATCACAAAAAAACGTCAAAAAAATGTGTCATTTCTGAAAGTATCATTATGTATTGTGTGAGGGGTTAAGACTCGTAGCAATAGTTCTACAAAACCGATTTGAATTAAACACCAAAATTCAAATATATGTTATGCAGTTAATGAACTCGGTGTTTCTGTCGAAGAAAAAATTGCTCGAAATTTTGAAATTAAGTGACTCTGTAACACGCTGACACACACAAAAATAGCAGCTCAAAAGTTCAAAAGATAACAGAACAATTTACATATATACAACCGTTTGCATAGCTTGTTAGCCTACAATAATCGTATGGTATAATTTTCATGTTTTAGCAGTACAGCGGCATCTATCGGCAAATGGCCAAACCATATTTTTTTCGAACGAAACATGGATCGTATGATTAAAATAGTTTGTATCTGTTCACGTTAACCGGACGTGGGGGTATCTGTGTAAAACCACTATATTTTTACCCATGTGTAAATATTTTTATTAATATTAAAACACGAAAACATAAGCAAAGAAAGAATCTAACAAAAAATTCATTTTTTTCATTCACTAATTTTAATTTTAATTACATTCTTAAAAAATTATAGATATTTTTAAACTATTATATCGTTCAAATTTTTAGCAACCTTAGTCTAGTACTAATTATAACCAATATGAATCTGTTTCTTAATCTTAATATCCCCCCGATGTTTTTTTATTCAACTTAAAGGAAAAATATATTCAATGCAACGCCTTATAAAATGATAAATAACATCGGATAATAGTTGAAGGTGCCGATATGACTTATCACAAAGAAAACCGTAAAATGAATGAACCGTAATAAAAACTTTGAACCGATTTTCCTGAGGGAGTAAAAATGTTATATTATAACAAGAATAAACAATTTATACGAAAAAGTAAGAAAATGAAACACATATCTTTGCACAAAAATGAAAAACGCGTAACCTGTAATTATTTCAATAATTTAATACAAAGTAAAAAAATAAATAAATTATACAGAAATAATTTATTTTCATCCCTATTATTTGAGTATGCATCTTATTAGTCTGTTAATATATTATTTGTTAGTTTACAAGGAAACTAGTCTTCAAATATAAAGCAATGAAGGTGTGAGTCATTTGTAATTGGACGCATTGCCATTTTTCAAAAATTAATATTTTTTTAAAAATTTAATTTTGAGACAATGAATCTTATATTAGTTTCAATGAACGCACATATAATTTAATAATATATTCTAAATATCGACAGCGAATGCAGAACAGAAAAAATATCAAACAGTCCGTCTCTTTGCAAAAATTTGTAATTTAAAAAATAAATAAATAAATATTATTGTCATTTTTATTTTCAAATAAAGTATTAAAGAAAATGAAGGAAAAAACTGTTTCGTTTTTTTTTCTTTCCTGGAAGTACAATTAACAATAAATGTATTTTCACTTTTTTTTATAAAAAATATTATACAAAATATAGTAAAAATGATAGCCTGGAATATTATATATATTAACATTTTTTGAAACACATCCATATTAAAAGTAAAATAATACCAACAAGAATAACATTGACGAGTATTTGTAATATTCATTCTTAAAAGTATTTTTCATATGTAAAAAGCACTTAAGCCTTTACTTCGATGATTTACTACTTTTTCAGACCACTAAATTCTAATTTTTTAATTGAAAATTCTAATTTTTTAAAAAAAATGTTTATGCTACAGTATTTATTAATTAATAAATAAGTCATAAATTTTCAAGTCACATTGTTGTAAAAAAATTATATTTAAAAAAAACTTTGCTTAACTAATTGTTTTTTTAAAGATTTACTAATAAACAATTTTTCACATGGCTTTGAAATTTCAGTATTTTTCCATTGAATCAATCAGAATTGAATAGACCGAAAAAAAAATAAGTACTTTATGAAATTTGCTTTTTTGTCTCTAAGTGCTATTTAATTTCAAAAAATCTAACATAAAAATATTGCTATCAAGAGGAATATTAGCTAGCTTTTGACCAAGAAACCACAAGTTTTAATTTTAAATTTTATCGTTAGCCCATTGTAGCATTGAAAAATAGGCCATGTGAAGTTTGAAAAAAATTATGGTCATATCAAGTTTCAGTTAATTTCAGCTGCTTTTTATTCAATAGCGAACCAAAAATCATGACGAAACGTTATTCTGTTATATAGTAATTGATAAACCTGTGTGAACAACCACAAAAACGTTAGAGAAAAAGTAATCATTAACCGAGACTACATTGAGCCAAATTTTCATATTTTCTCTTATGTATTTGTTCAAAAAAAGTTATGGTTTTTTAACATCTAGATCAGTAATTCTCAACCTTTTTTGTTGCGGCACACTTTTAACGATTTCGAAATTTGACGGCACACAGAAAAAAATTAGATTCAAAGTTGTTCAATTCGCGATCGCAACGAACTATAGGGGGCGTTGTTGTATGAGACTAATACCTGCGATTTCTATATGAACAGTCATTCATTTACTCTAGAGACGTCTTTAATGTAGCGTGTAGCATTGCAACGTTCCTTTTTTATCGTGGCTAATTAAATTTAAAAAAGAAAAATGTTTAATATCCTTTCTTATGCAAACGAAAACAAAATGGTATCTCTTTTTTATAGAGAAGGAACATCCAAAACACATCGGAAAAATATTTATATTCTTATAGGAGTTAAAACCTAATAACCGAAAAATAGTTTTACTAAATTTAATGATATAACATGAAAGGCCTATTTAAACTTTACATTCCATCAAAATTAAAATAAACAAAAAGTATACATAAGCCTTATAATTTTATGAAATTAAATTTAGTAAAAAAGGTTTTTTGACAACAATTTTTATTAAAAAATTTCAAGTGTCAATAAAAATCATTATTTAGAAACTAAAAAACGTAAAATAAAGAATGCTTACGATACAAAGCGAAGATGAAAAACCCAATTCTAAAAAATCCTTACATTAAAATAAACAACTTTCATGTTTTTTTTCTTTTTTGATTCATAATCGGACGCAGAAAACCATTCTATAGAAAATTATCATTTAAATCAAATAAGAAAAAAATTACTTAAAAGTAAAAAATTTTATTTTATAAAAATTAACACTTACCTGCTTTATAAATCAGAAGAATTCCAAAATGATTTGTTCTTCGATTTTTGTTACCATTTTTTAGTGCTATGAAAATGCGTCTTTGGGATTTGCCAAAAATAGAACAAGATGCAATTTTATTTTTTCAGGAGCGAAATATTTTGCCCATTGTCCACCGAAATCCGATAAACTACTTTGATTTTAAATAAAGTGTTTTATTTTATGATTTGTCGCAAAAATTTTGGTGTAGATTGGTGGCACTTAAAAACCGCCAAATCTGTAGTTGCGGTGGCGTTATTACGTAAGTAC